ACCTAGGCAGTAAAATCTCCGACTTTTCACGTAGCAATATTTTTGCTAGTATATCTCCTATAACAAGGGAAACAAAGGAAAAAATAAACAAATCTGACTACATCAAACTAAAAAGCTTCTGCCAGCTAAAGAAAATGTCATCGAAATGAAAAGGGAACCCACTGTATCAGAGAACGTATTTGCCATTGACACATCTGTTAAGTAAGGGGTTAATTTCTAAAATAAAGAATTTACTCAGTACCAGGAAGACAATCCAATTAAAAAATGGGCAAAGGACCTGAATAGATACTTCTCCAAGGAGGACATACAGATAGCCACAGACATATGAAAAGATGCTCAACATCACTAATCAGAGAGATGCAAATTTAAACCACAGTGAGATATCACCTGACACCTGCCAAAATGGCTATCAGTAGTAAATCAACTAACAAGTGCTGGCGAGGATGTGGAGAAAATGGAACCCTGGTTTGCTATAGGTGGGAATGCAGATTGGTGCAGCCTCTGTGAGAAGCAGTATATAACCTTAAAAAATTGAAAGTAGAACTGCCTTATGACCCAGCAATTCCACTTCTGGGAATATACCCAAAGAACCTTGAAACACTAATTTGAAAGAATATATGTACTCCATGACTATGAACTCCATGAAAGCTGGGCTTGTTTTGCTCTCATCACCATTTTTGCTGTCTAACACAGAATCATGCATATAATAGGCATTTTAATAAAAATAAATAAATAAACATTCAATGGCAAGACTACTGTTCATGCAGGATTTTAGAGTTGGAAGGTGTATGATGAATCATTTAATTAGTATAGTCTCATTTCCATCATGCCTGTCATGTCCTTGACAAAGGTGAATTCACACTTTGTTCCTTTGATACTCTGTGAGCAAAGACCCCTAGTCCTTCCAGTTGTATCTCAAGTATAGTCATTTCTCTATCATTTGCATTCCTGTCAGTCTTCTCTAAAGTTTTTAAGGGGCCCAGCCAGGTGGAATGAAATAAGGTGGTTACTTACCCTCTTTGATTATAGCAGTGTTCTTCAATCAATGCTTGGTAAGATTGCCTCATGCCTTAGCAATTGTCATAAGTGCTCATGCATAGTGAGCTTGTAATCATAACATTTTTTCTTTTAAAGATTAGGGATTTTCATTGTTAGATTACAAATGAGGTATTTGAAGCCATTTTTACCTTTAGGCCTTCCTTGGCCAGTAGCTGTTCTCCACATAAGCTATTACAGATTTTTTAGTCTATAAAAATTTCTTGCAGATTGAATTGTCATGGATAGCACCTATTATTTTCTGTGTCCAGTTGGCAAGTGTGTTCTAAACATGTATGCGATGAGGAAATATATTTTGAGTACCTACTCTGTACCACCCTCCAAAATACTTTATAATTAGTAGTTTACATTATGTTTCGTACATAAAATATCCAGCAGGCAGTCAGTATTAGGGTAGCAGTTAACACCTGGGCTCTGGAATCAGATCTTCTTGATTAGAACTATAGTCCTGCCACTTACCAGCTGTGTGATCTTTGATAAATTTCTTACACTTTACTTACCTCAATTTCCTCATCTGTAAAATTAAATAATAATTGTACCTATCTTATGTGGTAGTTGTGATGAGGTGATAAACATATTCAAAGCATTTATAATGGTACTGTGAATATGTGTTATCTATCATCTCATTCAGTTTTCAAAATAATTGTTTATAATATAATTCCAGTTTTATAGGTGAGGAAATTCATCCAGAGAAGTTCCGTTACTTCCTTAAGGCAGATCCAGGATTTGAACTGTACCCAGAGTACCAGAGTCACAGATGTTTACATGGAAGGAATCACACATAATAATACCTTTGCTCTAAAAGGGACTGAGTGTGGCAAAAGTGCTTAGAGTATCATCGACTGCCCTACAAGAGGCCTTGGTTGTACCTCTAATGAGACATGACCACATTTTAGGTTTAAATAAATTGAAGAAACTGACACTGAAAGATGGAATCAGTCATAGCAATCAGCTTCATGCCCCCTTGAAGCAGAAGATGTCATGCTCATGTTTGTTTTTCTAGGAACTTAAACTTACGGGTAACTTTGTACTCAAAAATGTTGGTGAGTGAGTGAGTGAGGGAATGAATAAATAAGGAAAAGTGTTGTGAGGGAATGAGAGCTAAAGCTGGTAAAGGAGACAGAAACGATGCCAGGATTTCGGTATGGGTGACCAAACGGATTCACCCTTTACTATGGTAGCAGGTGGAACAAGGATGAGGCAGGTCTAAAGGAGTCAGAAGGAAAGTTGGTGAGTGTGATTTAGACAGGTGCAGTATAATCCTGGTAGAGATATTTAATAGGCAAATAGAAATAGAGAGGCAACAGGGTTGGAAATACACTGGAAACTTTTGAATTTGGAAGCTGGGGCAAGTGTCCCTAGAATCATACTCTCTCCCCACCCTCCACCCCATGGGGATTGAATGATTATTTTCTCTGATTTCATTCTTTAAAAAAAAATTTTTTTTTTCTTATTATTATTCAAATACATTTGTCTCCATTTCCCTGCCACCACTTTCCCTTGCCCCCCTACGCCCACCTCCCACCGTCAGTCCTTCCCCACTTTGGCTTTGTCCATGGGTCCTTTATGCATTCCCCTTCTTTTCCCCATAACCCCCCCCTCCTCCCCTCAGGTTATTTATTGTTGGTTTGTTTTTTTCTTTCAATGTTGCTGGTTATATTTTCCTTGTTTGTTTTGTTGATTAGGTTCCACTTACAGGCGAGATCATATGGTATTTGTCTGTCACCCCCTGGCTTATTTCTCTTGGCATAATGCTCTCCAGCTCCATCCATGCTGTCACAAAGAGCAGGAGTTCCTTCTTTCTTTCTGCTGTGTAGCATTCCATTGTGTAAATGTACCATAGTTTTTTGATCCTCTCCTTTACTGATGGGCACTTAGGTTGCTTCCAGCACTTGACTATTATAAATTGTGCTGCTATGAACATTGGGGTGTATAGGTTCTTTTGAATTGGTGTTTTGGGGTTCTTAGGGTATAATCCAGCAGTAGATTCACTGGGTCTAAAGGCAGTTCCATATTTAGCTTTTGGAGGAAATTCCAAACTGTTTTCCAGAGTGGCTACACCAGTCTGCATTCCCACCAACAGTGTACTAGGGTTCCCTTTTCTCCACAAATTCGCCAGCACCGGTTGTTTGTTGATTTATCTACAATGGCCATTCTGACCAGTGTGAAGTGGTATCTCATTGTGGTTTTAATTTGCATTTCTCTGATGGCTAGTGATGTGAGCACCCTTTCATGTGTCTCTGGGCCCTGTGTATGTCCCCCTTAGAGAAGTGTCTGTTCAGGCCCTGCACCCATTTTTTAATTGGATTGTGTGTCTTCTTGGAGTGGAGTCATGTGAGTTCTTTATATATTTTGGAGATCAAACCCTTTTCCGAGGCAAATATATTTTCCCATATGGTTGGTTCCCCTAGAATCATAATTTTATAATATTAAGTTTTCCCAAGAAATGGTGTTGTCACATTAGAGGTGTTATTTTGTAATTATTTTAGACCTTATATTTTACTCTCCCAGCACAATGTAGATGGGAAGCAAATTGATTTTGCAGTAGAGACGTGAGAAATTGCAGAGATTTTTACAACCATTCCATATAAAAAATGTACAATATAAATGACATCTCACTGTAAACCTTATTTCCTCAATACTGTAAGTGCCTTTGGAGAGCTAGTAAAAGTGAAAAATTCTTAGGTAGGTGAAATAGAAAGCTAAGGTTATTTATGGTAGAAATTATGCCAGGGTTGTGTCATAAACAAAGTCTTTATCATTCAGGAATATAGTAGGCTGGCCCTTACTGGTGTGGCTCAGTGGGTTGGGGCTTTGTTCTGCAAACCCAAAGGTCACTGGTTGGATTCCTGGCCAGGGGCACGTGCCTTGGTCCCTGTTTGGGGCGTGCAAGAGCCAACGGCACATCCATCTTTCTCTCCCTTTCCCTCTCTCTAAAAATAAATAAAATCTTTTTTTTTTAAAGAGTAATTCAGGCTGAAGCCAATAAAATCAAATTGCCTGAACCAATAGGATGGAAAGAAAACAATTAGATTCACCTTTATACAAACTAGCCTTTTTTTTTCTGTTATCTGTTTAATTATTTTATAATTGTTAAGTCTTTATTGGAGAGGTTATGTTTCATATCATCCATATTAAAGCTCAACTAATAAAGTCAGATTTGCAGTATTTTAGGAAAGTAATTTTACTTATGGTACATTTTTATTGGTTTTGCTTTCATGATAATACATGTGGCATATTTAAATGTGATTTTCTAGGTAGGCTTTCTCTTCTATATAGGTAAATTATTTATTAGAAAGATTCAAGACATTTTTATCACATCTACTAGGATTTGAAAGATTATTCATGAATAGTGTAGTATTTTAAATTAAACTTTTCCTGTTATATTCTTAATATATGTAGAAATTTTCTTGGTAGTTACAAAATAATTATTTTAGTAGAGCCAGAAAAGACTATCAAGATTATTTAGTGTATTTATCTTGCTTTACATATGGTTAATCTAAGGACAGGGGAGGTATTTACCCATTACTAAATTATTTAAACTTTTGCATTACAGTGCCTTTTTAAAAAAGAAAAAAAAAACAACAACCAAAGATAGCTTTAATCTTTTAAAATGCCCTGGCTGGTGTGGCTTAGTGCATTGAGTGGTGGCGAATCCAAAGGTCACTGGTTTGATTCCCAGTCAGGGCGCATGCCTGGGTTGCAGGCCAGGTCCTCAGTTGGGGCATGTGAGAAGCAACTGATCTATAAATGTATCTCTCGCACATCAGTGTTTCTCTCCCTCTGTTTCTCCCTCCCTTCCCCTCTCTAAGATAAATAAAATCTTTTTTTTTAAATGTATTTCATTGTCTGAACTTACGTTTGAGCATATGTTTTTCTTTTTGTTTTTGAAAACCTCAGAATTCAGTCATATTCATTACCTTTTTCATATCTTTGTCTTTCAGGAGTCAGGAGAAAGCAGTGGAAATTGGAGTCATTGTAAAGTCATTAAGAACTTTTACAAGAAAATCTCATTGAGTAAAAGTCATTTAAATTAGTGGCATAACAAGATCAGTTATTAAAGGTGACAGTGTACAGCAAACATTAAAATTGAATAATGACTCTGCTATATATTTACATCAGAATGTTGGGAGCCTGTCTGTTCATCATTTCTCATGTTCAAGGTAAACTAGTGTTCATTTAAGCAATCTTATTTTTTTAAATAGTTTATTTCTGTATATTAAAGAACATTTTTTTTTCTTATACCTGCTCTTTCAACTCATGGCGCAGGGTGCTCCTGGATCTGAGGGTTACTATCCGGAGCCAGCTGAGGAGGTCACAGGGCTCTGAATCCCACAGAGTCCGTCCGGGGTTGTCCGGGGGTTGTCACAGGGCTCTGAATCCCACAGAGTCCGTCCGGGGTTGTCCGGGGGTTGTCACGGATGGGGGAATAAACACAAGTTGTCACAAACACTTCTCTGTTTGCCAGGAGAGGGGACATGGCTCTTCCCTTTAGTGGAGAAGACCCTGAGCCCCCCTGTCCAAAAGGCTTTTATTGAGAACCATATGCTCAGGGGTATAGATGCAGAGCTCATCAATCAATGTCAAAAGGCTATGTTTACAGAAAACAGAGATCATAGATAACAATTGGAGGAACTCAAGAGATTTGCCTCAGGTCAGGGTCTATGAATAATGTAAATCTTCCCAGTTTGAGCCAGTTATCAAAGCTTTTGAGGGAAGAACAAAGCAGGCTTCAAGGAACTTACTTCTAGGCCTGATTTCCCCCTAGGAGTTGCCCCATCCAGTTTAGGGTTATACCTGCCTTTGGTATTGTTTCAAGCCTGAGCCAGGCAGGTGGAGCAGAGCTGCCAAGAAATAAGGAGACTTCTTTCAGATAGAATGAGAACTCTGGCCATATCAAAGCTGAGGGGTGAGGGTCTTTTGCCCTTTCTCCATGTCCCCCAAGTTCTTGTCTGCAGCCCATACCAGCCGTGTCTCTCTTAGGTCATCCGTCCTCCTGAGAGATCTTACCTGTCTTTGACTAACCAACCATCACAGGGCCAAGCAGGGTGACCTGAGGGAGGCAGGGACTGCGCCCCTGCCAGGGAGACAGGAATTGTCTCCTCAGTGGCCTGTTTTCCCAAGACCTCCTTGATTACTTCCAGCCTTGGGGCCCTCTTGCCTATTGGCGGGACTACAGTCCCTGAAACCAGACGGGACGTTTCCCAACACATGCACCTTTTAGAGCAGTTAGGCCATGTATTGCAGCATAATTTTTAACTAAATAGGCAAAGAACAAATATCCCAAATAATTGTTGAACTTGACTGAGATTGAAATATTTTCAAGTTGATTTGTAAAATCTCAGCCTCTCTGAACCTATTCTCTTATTCATGACATGATGTTATGATATGTAGTTTCAGGTCTTGTGAGGATTAAATGAAATAAAGTATAAAATAAAGTACCTGACCTTTGCCCAAGGCACAGGGTAATTAGGTACTTATGACTTACAGTAGTTTAAAATTCCTATCTCCTTGAAACTACAATAAGGAATATATGTAAATAATTTTAAAAACCATTGTTGTTAAAAGATTTCAAAATATAAATAGCACTTATGTTTGCTGAATACTAAAATTTCTTTATTAAGTACTCAGTTTTATTTATGACCCATACTGTAATTTTTCTCTGGGTGTTCATAGCTTGGAACTCTCAAACAGGAAGTTATTGTGATAACTCTTAGGATCAGATGGACTGTACTTGTATGAGAACTTTTTCCTGTATGGTTTAATTAGAATAATATTTTAAACTGAAAAGAAAGTACTATTTTGCAAAGAGATTTTAGATAGAACTTACTGGTCATCTTTGTTTTAAATTTATGACTTTACAGATTACTCTTTCATGTTTTGTTCACAGTGATATGTATTAATATCTACTAACAAGAAAGAAAGATGATTAACAGCATAAATCTTTTGATATTTTCACTTTAAAGCATAAATATAATAATGAATTCTGCAGCTTCTTTGTATTTTGTCTTAGGTGTGATACCCTTCCTATTACCATGCTCAGAATACAGAGCCCTCTTGTGAAAAGCCACATTTTAAATGAAATACCACATTATTTAACAAAACACCTTTATTTTAGCATCAGTTGTCCTTTTAGCAACTGTTCGGTAGATGAGGTAAATTAACATTTATATTTGCTTCCTAGCCCCCAGCTAATCTCTGTTTGGTATTTACAAAATACTTAATTTATGTGGATCACACAGAGGCAATATGGTACAAGATTCTTGTTCTCCACCTTGATTCAGGTTGTCCTATAATAAACTTTTTTTAGGTGAAGTAAATTGGTAATTATCAGACATAAGTGAAAAATCTTAGAACTATATTTCTCTAATAAAGAACAAAATTTGTTATATTTTCTTTTAAAAGCAATTAGTTTGTAGTTGCTTTAAATGGTAAGATAAAAACATTTGCTCTTAATGAAAAGGAAGAATTAAAATTAGTGTAGGGAAAAATAACCAATGTAGGAAAAAAGGTTATTTTTTAGAGATTACTAAATAGGATTGCAGAGTGGTGCCAAAGGAAATGACTTTGACTTTAGTTCCATCTTTATCTTGAGTTGTGTCTTGAGAAAGTAAATTTCCCTATACCTTGGTAGAAAATAGAAATAATAATACTTATCTTAGATATAAAGAGCAGTATTTTGAGCACCAAATGTTATGATATAAATTTAAATGTTTTTATATTGAGATAAAGTTACTCAAGTCACAACAGAGGAATGTCATCTGATTTTAACATGAGGTAGGTAGTCCTTGTTTTTGACTTGGGTTAGTGTTAAGTTAAAATTACCCAACAGCGATTTGAACAAATACTTGTTTGTTTAACATAGATGATAGATGTTTTCTGATGCTCATTCAGTAGTTGAGTAATATCAAGGTTACCATCTCTGTGATTTTCTTGACTTTTCCCTCAAGGTTACAGAATGGCTATTATTTTCATTGGAGGAAGGAAAAATGGGGATACGGTCAGTCCTGGCCTCAGCTGGACTTTATATCAAGAAAGCGAGAGTGTCCCCAGAAATTAACCTCCAGCCAGCTGACTGTTATGTTGTTTTATTGGTGAGACACTTGCTAGGGCTACTGGGAAACAGGATTGTCACAATCAGTGTAGATTACTAGCTAAATCCATTGCCTAGGGTTGTCCATGTTGCCCCCAAACTAAATCAGAGTTCTGTTAGCAAGGAAAACCAGAGGGGTGGGGGAATAGACATCCATTGGGCAACTAAGAGTCTGAAACAGATTTTTATCCTTTTTTTTTTTATCAAGGAAGATGTTTTCAGCATTCAGTAACAGAAGCCCAGAATAAATGAAATACCTTAAACAGTAAGAAAAGTGTAATATCACACATTAAAAAGTCTGAATGAGGAAGTACTACAACTAGTTAAATTAAATTCCTTGGCTCCTCCAGTTCTTTCCCTATGTAAACCGTGCTCTTCTCCACATAGCAGTTTTAGCCATAGGTTAACTCACTTGATGGCCACAGTTGCTGCTGAAGGGCCAGGTATCACATGCAGATGTAGAAACTTTAAATTGACAACATTCAGTGTAAAAAGAGGGTTGGATGTCTCCTTTTACTTGGTAAAGAAATCTTTCCCCAGGCACCTCCCCCCAACAAACTTCCTTCTAATTTTATCAGGCAGAATTTATTATATGCTCCTGTATAAACAATGGCAAGGGGGATGGAACTAAAACCATTAGAATAGACAGTTATTTCTCCTAAGGGTAGGACTGTGCCTCCCTGAGTCACGTGACGGAGAAACAGACACTTAAAAAAAGGTGTGTGTGCTTAGCCCCCAAGGTAAAGGGGAATAGAATGATTAACAGTATCTGTTGTCTGTTTTTATCTACCTAGCATTATACTTACCTTTTTTCACATGCACGTACTAAAAGTGCTCATGTTGATGTGATATATTCAGTTCCTCCCCAAAGGGATTTATAACCCATTTTCATCCACTTAGTATACTCAACTACTAGTCCACAACTTCTGGGTTGTATGTAGCCTTCTCCATTGGGTACAGATGTGACTCTTCATGATCCAGCAGTCTGGCTAAGAGAGAAATTATCAATGCCCAGCACACCCAGCATTCAGTGATGTGGAAAAAATGGGATCAGTGTTATATAAGCTCCCAATCAGAGGAAGGAAGACTTGGAAAAAACCTTCAGTAGTCACTGCTCCATAGCACTACATTAAGGAAAACTACTCTTGTTGATTACCTTGTACATGCAGTACATTGATATCCCATTGGTCTAACTTTCCAGTCTTTTGCCTTCTGATCCCTATTGCAGATATTTTATCTTAAGGATAGGGGAGGGGGAGTTCCTTTTCTTTATACAAAAGAAGCCAAGAGATTGTTGGGAAGGTAGGAAAAATTATTAAACAGGAATGAAAATTTAGTAAAATCAGTGATGCCAAAGCTTCTATTAAGAACAAAGGAGCCTAATATAAATGCACCTATATATATAGTCACTTGTATCTTTCTGCTATTGTTCTATTTGTGTGTGTTTCTAAGCATGTAAGCTATTAAATATTTTTTGCATGTGTTTGTTTTGAAATATAATCTGTAGCCCCAGCCCACCCCATGCCCCTTAATTGTATACTTTGTAAACACAGGATTTGTAATTAGGAACTGATGGAGGCCAGGGTGCCTGAGCATGATAGAGGGGAGGTGCTGTGAATTGATGCTGGAGAGGTAGGTACACAGAGTCAAAATCCTGCTGGATCTCAACAGGCATGGTGAAGGAGATTAGATTTTATTCTAAGTGCATATGAAGGCATTAATTGATTTTTTAAAAATATTTTAATTACTTATGCTGTTACAGTTGTCCCAGTTATTCCCCCCTTTTCCCCCTCCACCTAGCTTCTCACTCCCTCAGGCAAGCCCCATACCATTGTCCATGTCCATGGGTCATGTTTATATGTTCTTTGGCTAGGGATTAGCCAAACCAAGAACATTGGTTTCAAGCAGGAGAGTGACAGGATCAGATGTATAGTTATAAGATAATTGGCTGCTATGTGGAAAAGGGATTAGAAGTGTCAAGAGGAGAAGTATTGGGGATCAGTGTGGAGATTTTTATCTTGGAAGTGGCATGATATAATTAATAGGCCCAGGTAATAACAGTGGAGTTGGAGGAAAAAATGAGATATGCAGGGTCTGACAGAAGTAACACCATTGAGTGTGATTGGTTGGGTAGGTGAATGTTTCCCACAAGATGGGCAGTAATTTGAACAGTTCACCTAAAGTATCGCATGGTACTTGATTGTTACACTACAGGATTACATACTTATGATTTTGTAATAAATTTTTATGTGATAAAAAAGGGGGATTATTTGTTCCAGACCCTGTATTTTGGAAGTTGAGCCAAAAGACTTGGGGAGGACCATATTAGAGGAGAAAAGTCACAAGTTCCATTTTGGAGAAGTTAATTTTGAGATACTTAAGCAAATCAAGTCTAGAAGATTTGTTTAAACCATGGGAATGGGTGCTGTTACCTAAGGAATACAGAGGCTTTGCTAGGTACTTTTCTTTGCATCTGTGCCTTTACTTAAGTGAAATATTACAATTTTAAGATATGGCTCATTGATTTTGACACCCTAGGATAAATTGGCTTTCTCCTTTGTTTGAATATAACACCTGTGTATTATATCACTTTGCACATTGTGTTTATTTAGGTGCTTATCACTCCCTCCCCCTTCTGTCATCTTCCAGGTTTCTCAAAGATCAGATCAGTTTCCAGAATTCAGTACCTTGCATGCACATAGTAAGCCTCTAATTAGTAAATGCTATGGAGCACAAATATTTGTTAAATATTTGAGATCATATTAATCCCAGATACAAATTATTGTAATCAGTTTGTATCTCTTAAATTCAGATAATTTTCTAGGAAGTTATGTTTACTAATGGTCATATAACTTTGAATTTTTCAGGTGTTAGTGATCTTTTAGTATAACCTTTGTTATTAGTAATATTTTCACTTGCATGCTATTCTATATTTAATTATATTTATTGGATCTTGTATATGCCCTTCTTATTTGAATTGGGCAGGTATTACTACCTTTTTTTTTTAATAGATAAAGAACTGAGGTTCAGAGAGTAACTTATCTTTGGACATAATCAGAACATTATTTCTACCACATTATACTACTTTTTCTGTGTCATTAGATTTTTGAAAAATTAATAGCATGTGATACATTATTTGTCATTTGTTCTCTGTAGTTAAATTGATGCTTTCTTCTGTTATTGTAATAGGATTTTAAAGCTAGTTAAGAGACCTCAGATGTCCTCTAGTCATGTGGTCTGATTGAGTAACATGGCATATCCCTAATCATTCAGCTAGCTAAATTGTGGTAGAACCATAGTAGACCAGAATCCAGGTTCTCCTCATTTCCAGCTCAGTGGATTTATTCCCTTTCTCCCCCATCTTCCCCTGCTTAATTTGATAGATGACGTTCTTAACATAAATGAGCTCTTTAAGTTTTGTAGTAATTTAGAGGATTAAGTGAAAATTATTAAAATTAAAGTTATGTATTCACTAAAACTTAGTAGCACATTCTTTTCCTATTGTCAGTGTGAATATATGTTAATTTTTTTCTTTTTTCAATAGTTCATCTCACCAGTATGACTGAATTTAAAGTCAGATCTAAATTAATAAACTTGAAACCACTTATTTAACATTAATAATTAGATACCCAATTCTCTTAATATTTTATACCTCTTTGGGTCTACATTTTCTTCAACTCTAGCAGATTTCAGCCAATTCATAGGGAGGAAGAAATTACTAAAAAATTGTTTTAGTTTTGTTCTGCTTTCAGCCTGAAAGATTCAGTAACAAATATGACAGTATCTGTTATTTGAAGCTACTACACTCTAATGGGAGAATAACCTTCAGTTTCTGGCAGCAGATTCTGGATTTGAACCAATGACCTTGAGATAAAAGGCACCAGATAATATTAGTCCCCATGCTCTCACAATTCCCTTACTTAAGCAGTTAAAGTCCAAAGCAAGATGCTTAGTAACTCCACTTCCACATAAAAGCACACCTGAAGGACTGATTTTTTTTAAGCTAGTCACAAGTCTTGAACCAAAGAATTTAAGAAAAACAATTTTTCTGGTTTTTTAATGGTTGAAAGCAATCACAGCCTTCTCTAAAATTGCTTCTATGTACCTTTCTTAAAAGTTATGACCATATTCTACCTTGTACCATTCTTGTGTGTCTTTCACTGGTGCAAAAATTGAGACTTAGTCATCGCCATATATCCCACAATATCTGGAACAGTAATTCTGTGTATGTTATTAATGTCTGTTACTTGTGTATGAAATTTACTTTTAATTAAAGACACACAGTAGCTGTAGTTATTATGATAAAGCTTAGAAACTTTTCTTGTTGAAAACTAAAATCAAGGAAGTAGCTTTTCAGAAATGGTTTGAATTTCATATATGATTACAGGGCAGAATCTGGACAGTATGCTCCATGGTACTGGAATGAAATCAGACTCCGAGCAGAAAAAGTCAGAAAATGGAGTAACCTTAGCACCAGAAGATACCTTGCCCTTTTTAAAGTGCTATTGCTCAGGACACTGCCCTGACGATGCTATTAATAACACATGCATGTAAGTATTTTATGAAGCCTTTCTTAAAGTTAGGGAAATAGAGTTGCATTTAATGCTATTTTGAGAATTGTTTACATCGTCCATAGTTCTTTTTTTCTTTGACTTTATAGTGCCTTCAAAAGAGCCAAAAGCTTTTTGTCCTGTATAGAAGAGCGTTTATTACTATTGATTAATAGTTACTTTCTTAGAGTAACATTGTAATATAGCTTTTTAAACAAGATAAGAAGAATGTAATCTTTGTCTAACATTTTGAGTTTATTTAGTGGTCTTTTTATCATAAAGTTACTGATACTAATTGAAAACCTTGTGGTTACCAAAAAGGAAACATGAAAATTCCACCAAAACCTTATAATTCCAAATTATAATACAGATATGTAAGAATGATATTATGATGTTTAATTTTGTTATCTTCTTAACAAGCAGACTCCCCAATCCAAGTCTGATTTATAACCAGTTTAATTTTCCTGTTTAATTTTATGTTAATTCTTCAACATATTATATATGACTGTGTAATTTTATTCCATATTTGAAGAATTGGTTTACTAGCCAAAAAAGAATTCTCTGAGAAACCCAATCTCATCAGTCAATTTATTGTCCCCCTTTATAAAGGTAATAACAATGTCTTATTTTGTACTTTCCTAATAATTGTATACTCTTTGAATGTGACCAGATATAAACCATAAATGTTTACATGTAAAATCTTGAAATTATATGATGTCTCTTACATCCTAAATTTGTTATTTGTCCTCTGGTGGTGGTTGACTTTATTGGGACAGGCTGGGTGATCTGTGTCATAGGGTATTGCTCCCCACTTTGTCACCAAGTAATTTCTTCCCACACTTCTTGTCCATAGAGCCTGCCTGATACACGTAGGGTATTTGATAGTGGCTGAGTAACCCCAAATAAAACTGAATCATCAGTTTTATCAGAATTTCACCCCACACTTAACATTTTCTCTGACTAGAAAATGAAAATTTACAAGATTCTTTTAATGAGAAGTAATACATTTACTGATACAAACAATAAATAGGAGCACAAATAAAGCTTTTAGAAGTTTTTTTCTATCCATTAAAGTCTAAATGAATATATTAGGGGAAAATTCCAGCATAGTATTGCATTATATGATATTAATTAAGTTTCATTAAATACATTTATGTAAATTTCTTGAAAATTCAACTATTCAAAAATTCTCCCTTTTTTATGTTCAGTAAAAAGTGCCTCTGAGGATCTTAGTCTCTTCTCAAATATACTTTGTCATTCAGTCTATTTTTATATTCACAGGAAAGTTTATTATTTATTATAGTGTACAGTATGTGGACACTGAACATATTGATAAAGTTATTTTTAAGTATATTTTTAAAAATTAAGATGATTTGCTTTATAAGATTTTGTAAATTAGCTTTCTGTAATCACATGATTGTGATTAGCAAAGAGAAGTTATATAATTAATGATATTTGGATGACTTGTTTAATAGGAGTCCTTTTCTACCTGACATAAGGTTCTTAGTGGGTCTTCAGTTTTTAATTCAGCTATGACAGCTTTCATTTGCTTATGTGGTTTGCCAATAAATCACATGTGACTGCAATTTTAATTTAGTACCTGGTCACATTCAAACTCATTTTAATCAGTACTTTCTGATACCATGTTTTGTTTTAGTTTTTTTTGTTGTTTTTTAGAGTTTTATTTTTGTTTTCTTTTTTTTTTTTTAGTACTAATGGGCATTGCTTTGCCATCATAGAAGAAGATGACCAGGGAGAAACCACATTAGCTTCAGGATGTATGAAATATGAAGGATCTGATTTTCAGTGCAAGGTAAGATCTAATTTGGGGCTTATGAAATAAAGAAGGAAGGGACCACTAGGAAAACATTGACTTCCCCTAGGAGAGGTGTGCTTGGTCTCTGCATTGCTTTATGCTCTTTAAGCAAATATATTTGGGTAAGCTTAGCTTTCACTTCAAGTAAAATATGATTGTGGTAGGTGAAGTTCCAGATTACTTTTTAAAAAGTATAAAATTATCCCTTTTCTAAATTGTTATGACTGCAAATGTGATACTGTCACACTTAATTGTGGATTATAAAATTGAAAAGACTAGGTGATGAGCAATAGTAACCTTTGCACTCTGAGACAACTTAGAAACGGTAAATCCTTTTAAGGAAGTCTCAATGGAGTTATTTTAACAACTGCAGCAAAGGAATCAGGATTGGTAATAATTTATAAACATCCTGGTGGCGTTCAGGGTTATAAACCTAATTTCTTTAAAATTTTGTGTAGTAGCCAAGGGGAGGGGGAAGAGGAATAATGGGGGAAAGAAGGGGAAGGGTCAGGTCAAGGAGCATGTATAAAGGACGCAAAGATAAAAACAATGAGGAGTCGGGGTGTTGAATGTGGGAGGTGTAGGGTGGGTGGGGAGGGGAATGGGGGGGATGGGGACAACTGTTATTGAACAATAATTTTAAAAAGTGTTTCTTAATTCTGTGTAGTAATTTTGCCCCAGGGGAACCTGCCAGTGGTTTTGAAAAGCAGCTCCGTATAGAGCCATTTGTACACAATTTTAAGACTTGGTTATTTTAGAAAATTATTTTAATGATTTAGAAATTCTTGGGATTGATAGAAACCGTAAAGGTTGTATGTTTCAACCTCTCGGCTGATATTTGGAATCTTCCCCCTCTCCACCCCCCTACACACACACAGTGCATCCCGTAAATTTTCTATGTTATACTTCCTGTGACAGGGACTCATTACCTCCCAAGACCACCTATTTCATCTGTAAAATGACCTGACTAGATCCTGAGAAAGTTTGTCCTCCCAATGATTGCAAATCTGCCTTCCTTCCTGCCTCTTTGGACCATAGAGAACAAATCTAATCCCCCTTTAATATGATAGCCTTTTACTATACAAAGAAAGTTGTTGGGGTTTTTTTGTTTTTATGTTTTTGTCCTGCTTTCTTCCCCATACCTTCTAGTCTTTGCCCATGAAAAAATAAGTTCATGACTTCAGCTGTTATATGATCAGATTGAGTTACTCGCTCTCCAGAGAATAGATAAGTCCTTTCCCTTTTTCTAAATACAGCCAAATCTCATGTTAGATGTTTGACTGTCATCCCATATTCTTGAAACATTGAGCTCTGTCAGCTGAAATGGCCATGTCTTTCACTCATGCTACTGCTGAGCCACATCTCTCCCATTCTTTATTGGTGGTGTTGGTTTCTTGACACAAATAAGTAGATGGGAATGGAATGTTTGTTAAATGATTGTAACATACTTGTCTATGTTAATTTCATTATATTAGAATTAGTCCTTTGCTCTAATGTGTCAAAATTTGGGGGAATGCTAATTTGTTTTTTTCTTCTAGTCCAGTTTCATGCCTTTTGTATACTTATCAACCTCATGCTCTCTACATTTCTTAATCACTTAAAAAATATTGAAGAAAGCTATGGTTAGAGCACTGAGCTTAGCAGTAGGAACCCATGTGTCTTACAGGCTCTCTGAAGTAAGTGTGTCCCAAAATAAATTGACCAATACAAGTTAGTTGTTAAGTGTGACAGTTTGTGTTCAAATCCCTATGCTGCCTCTTAATAGCTATGAAACTTTGGGCAAGGAGTTTTACTTTTGTTTTCTCATCTGTAAGGATCAGATGAGATAGCATATACGTAAGGAGTTTTAGCACAATTGGTACATACAATAGTAAGGGCTTAATAAACGTTGCTTTTAGCATATTGATGATGTAACTGAACAATATTTAAGCCAGGGTACACATATCCTCTGTACACAACAGACTATGTTACACATAGACACATAGACACAAGGATCACATAGACACATGGATTATTTTAAGGGAATCAATTTACAGATCCTAAACTGTCCATATGTCCTTTTGCTTAATATTGGCCTGCTTAAGAGCAGAGCCTCTCAAGCAATTTCTATTTCCTTCCCTTTTACAGTCACCCTTTTCACAGTTTAAATATCAAAGGCCTAGAATGTAAGACCTCAAGTTACCAAACAAGATTGTAATTTGAAATCTCAGTATCACAGTGGGGAATGTGGGGATATCAAATATGTTCCCGTGTCAGGTAGTTTTCAGTTTTTTGCTTTCAACCAGATTGCTTGATTATTGAAAATAATTTTTTAAAGTAGTATCATTATGGGACTTCAGCATATGATTGGAAAGTCTTTAAAGAATTATTATACAATGGTGTAACAAACTCTTCCATTATCATATTTTTGTTTATGTGAATAAAGTATCAAGGAAAATCGAAAAACGGGGATAAAATTAATGCCAAACTTTCTCATTCCGGCAATAAAAATATTTATCTGTGAACTTCAGAACTAATTTCATCTATTACATACTCAATAAACTTTTCTTTTAATGTTAGTGTTGTAATAAAGGTTATAATATATATATATTGTTTTGATCAATTTTATACTAAAAAAAATGACAATGATAAATCAAGCCAGAGTAATTTTTAAGACTTAAAGGCATATTGCCATGGAAAGTAAAATAATTTGTATTTATATATTTATTTTTAATATGGCAAATTATGTATCAAAATATATTACTAGGGCATAATTATTGTGAGAGATGTGGAAAGGTAATAGGAGTTCAAGGAGAAAAAGGAACACTAAAACTTCTAATTGTTAAACATTTGTTCACTTTTTTAATAGTGATAAGTAGGTGTCAGATTGCTGTTATTTAGATGCTACTGAATAAACTTGAGAATGATGTAACAATTTTATTTTAAAATGTCATTGTGTACAATAAGCCAGAAATTATTAATGAAAAATTTTAAGTATCACCCTAGAAATACCTGACAGGAAGGATACATTGTTTAATTTCACCGTAAGCCTTTTCTCCCAGTTCTTTTACACATACTGCTGCATAGGGATCTAAATAGATTCAAATGAGAATCACCATGCTTTGCCCAAACCCCCCCACCTCCCAGTCTGTTAGTAAATCTAGCTTATTCTGTTTGTTTCTTTAGGATGAATTTTTTCTCAGAAACTGCCTTGCCATTCCTTACAATTTGACTTCCATTCATTTTTCATGTATCACTCCCTCACCCCCTCCCATCCAAGCTCACTAAATCTCCTATTTCGTGAATGTCAAATGAGTTTTTCCCCAACAAGGATTTTTATTGCCCACATAAATCTGGAGATACAAATGGACTTAGCTGGGAGTGGGGAGAGGGGGGAGGGAAGGAATGAGAAAGGAAAGGTTGTGTCAGCCAACTTCATAATCTAGATACACCTGACTTTTGCCTACCCAGTTAACTTATATAAGAAAGATGTGAGGTGGGTTTGATGTTACTTATTCTTGGTGAAATCACATTGAGTCTTCCAGGGGTTTACAGGCATTTTTGACTTTTTCGGCTTTTTCTAGAACCTTGACTGGGATCCATGCCAAGGTCACTAGAGCAAGAAGAATTAATTTATTGAAAATTTACTGTTTGCATTTAATGTGCTAGGTACTTGGTATATTGTGCCTCATTTCCTCCCAGTAAGACACATTTTTTATCCTCCAGTTTACAGCAGAGGAAACTAAAGCCCAGAGGAAGTAAGTTTATTTCTCTGGTCACAAAGTTAGTGAGTGGCAAAGCTAGGATTTAAGCTATTTTATTCCAAAGCCCTTGATTTTCCATAATACTATGCAGCCTCCAGCCTGTTATTGGCAAAATATACTTTCTTTCCTTTTTGAAGAAAAGAAATACAGCATTTAGCTGTCTAGTTTCTAACATGCCTTGTTTTTAAAATCTGGAAATCATATCTCTCTATCTGCCATGTGACAAGTGCTCTCATATTCCTCAAGTATCATTCACTAAGGTTAAAAGATAAGAATTTCTATACAGTTATATAAAACATTGAGGATCTCATAGAGTTATTAAAAACATTGTAGGATCTCTTCATACATCTGGGATGTCAATTCCCACTTATTGGTGTTGCATCTATGTTCTCCATTCTTACAATCATTCTTGATAGAAAAGACTGAAACAAAACAGGAGTTGAAGAAATGTACCTTTTCTTTTTCCTTCATTACCTACTATTTTGTCCCCTTGCTTGGTAGTCTGCTTTCTAGTACTGCCAAAGAAATCCTTTCTTGCTTTTACTTTACATTCTTCATCAAAGCTAAGCTCATTTTGAACTTCATCTTTAGTTATATACTCTTTATTCCATCCTTCATGTAAGGATATTTTTTTTTAAGATCAGATTATTTCAGAGTCACTGGTGTAATTCCTAGCATTTGTCTCTTTCTCTATATAATCGATTGTTAAAAAGTAAAAAATACAGTAAAAATGTGAAACTTGTCCTTTTTGAGGTTTCCAGTGTTCTTGACCCACCTTCTCTTATAGAATCGTGAGTCATGGACTTTTTAAAGTAATACCTGATTATACTGAGGTTTTACCTTCTGGCCATCTGATAATTTAATCATAACATGGTCTATATGGCCAAGTGGCTTGGTTGGAACATTGTCCCATGTACCAAAAGGTTGTGGGGGTTCGATACCTGGTCAGGGCATGTACAGGAGGCAACCATCCCATGTTTCTCTTTCTCTTCTCCCCTCTCTCCCTCCCTCCTTTCCTCTCCCTTCCTCTCCCTAAAATCAATGGGTATATCCTTGGGGGAGTATTTTTCAAAAAAATTTTTTAAAGAATAACAGTCAATTTCTGCTTATATTCTTGCTCCTTTTATAATGACAAACAATTCCTTCATGTTAGTGTCTTGGTTCAGAGTGGCAGTTCTCCTGGGTAGTGCTGAAATGTCAGCATTTAAGTTAAGAACTTGTCAAGTACTAATACTGTTAGTCAAATAAAATTTCACACATGATTGTTGATATCTGTTCCCAAGACTACAGTCTGTTCTTTGTGCGTGTGTTCTGATCTATTAAAGACACGTCTCATACCTGGTTTGTGGCCTCTTAAAGACTCTCAGAAATTCTTTTTTTATATTTTGCCCTTTTCTTCACCACATATGCTTCAACTTGCTTCCACATCCAGTTCCTTAGTTTCAACATAGTTGTTACGTGCAAAATCTGCAATATCTTCTATCTAGTCCACTACCTCTCCTAACCTGTGTTGTCTTTGACCTAGGACACCCTCCACTTTTTAGTCTGATCTTGTTTTGATCCATTTAAATTTCAGGATGACTACGAGATCTTATTTACCCTACCAATTTAACACTGTAATAAAATATATTACCCATATTTTTTAGAAAAGGATCTCATGAATCTAAATACTTTTTTTTTGTTTTTACTAAAAACTAATCGTAATAAAATCAGATATGCCCAAGTTTGGTGGAAAGTATTTATAAACTTTTGTTTATCTGCAATTAAATTATGGCCTGGTTCTACATACTTGTATGCCATCCACATATTTGGGTTCTCCTTAATAAAAACCATTTTATAGTCTTCACAACTATAGACTATTTCAGCAGGAATTCTAATTTTTAATAATTTTTTTTACCCATAAAATTTGCAGGTACCTTTCTCTCACTGAATAAGAAATTGTATTTTATGAATAGTTAAAATTTTTCTTACCAATTTAGCATAGCAAACCATTTCTAATTTTATCATTACTCTTTGTCTAGGATTCACCAAAAGCCCAGCTACGCCGGACAATAGAATGTTGTCGGACCAATTTATGTAACCAGTATTTACAACCTACACTGCCCCCTGTTGTTATAGGTAAGTTAGCAGAGAAAAGTGATTAAAATTTTCAATAAAATATTTTCTCTTGTTTTAACAATATGCAACTTTTCTAGAATTTAATGCTACAAATTATTTTTTCTTTTAATAAGATATGATAGAAAGACAAAATGTTTATTGTTTTCTTTCATTGTCAGGTCCATTTTTAGATGGCAGCATTCGATGGCTGGTTGTTCTCATTTCTATGGCTATCTGCATAATAGCTATGATCATCTTCTCCAGCTGCTTTTGTTACAAGTAAGGAAACACTTAGTTTGATGCAAAATATTTTGTTGAATAGTAGATATAAGTAGTTGTTCTTAAAGCCATTAGGCAGAAACCACTGATTGCTAAAAGTAATTCAGACACCATTAACTTGTATTTGCTGTTTAATATCTTCTTAAATTAACTAGATTATAACTTTCTTAAGGGAAGACAGGCTCTTACTACCAATTATTTAATTAGACACAACTTTATATTTCTTGTTATGCTCATGAGTACTTATGATTTTCTTATTTTATATAGTAGTTAACTTTCTTATATCTGAATGTTTAAACCTTGTTCCAAGAAATCAAGTATATTATCATTCTTTAGTTATTTGGGGCTTAAGAACTGTTTGTATTCAGCCATGATTTCAGAGGAAGTTGCTAAAAGAGAAAAGCAGTAAGAGGAGGGCATAAAATCCAAAAATAAAATGTTATCTTACTAGCTAATGAATACAGAGAGATTAGTGGAACAGGTTACTAAATTAAATGTGTAAATAAAAACAAGTATATAAGGAAATTTAGTATATGATAAAGGTAACATTTCAAATCACTGAGGAAAAGATGCATTAATAAGCCGATTTAGGAGTAGGTAGCTGTATGGGGAAAAAATGAAGTTGAATCAATTCCCCACATGGAAATAAATTTTCACCACATTGGAGCTAGGTATATACAAAATGAAATGATTAAAGTGCTAAAACAAACCATGGAGGAATTTTTGAAAATAATCTCAGAGAGGGGAAGACCTTTGTGAATCTGACATAAAATATAGGGAGAAAAAAAATCCCTAAAATTAAAAGAAGAAAAGATTGACGGTGTTGACTATACACAAAAACAACTTTATTACGTAGCAGAAACCACCACATATGGGCAGAAGACACGCAAGCAATGAAAACCATGGGCAGCTCGTATTACAAAGAACTGATACTTTACAAAGAACTGATATATTACAAAGAACTGAATATAAAGAACTTCTGTAAATCAGAAAGAAGAAAATCTAATAAATCATTGGGAAAATGAGCCACAAAAATGAACATATGATTTATCCAAAAAGAAATACATGTGGTTCTTAAAAAAAAAATTAAAAGATGACTAAAGAATGCTCCTAATGGCATGTACACATGGAACAGGCTAACAGCTTTTTTGGTCGGGGGAGGTGCTGGATGAAAGAAGGTAAACAGATTAGCCAAAGAATATATATGCATAACCTATAGACACACACAGACAACAGTGTGGTGATGGCCAGAGGGAAGGAGGGGTGGGAGCTGTGTGGAAGTGGGTAGGGGGGGAAATAGGGACATCTGTAATAGTGTCAATAATAAAAATTAAAAACACAATGCTCATAGTATGAAAAATACAAATTAAAATCATACTGAGAGATTGTTTTTCACCTATTATACTGGCAAAAAATTCAAATATTTGATAATAGGTCTTTGAGATAAAGAGACAGCTTGAGCATAGGTATTTACTTTTGCTCCCCCTACTCAAACAGCAATAGTTTTTAACTTTATCATCCAGCTAGAACAAAGAGCACAGGAAATAATAGCAAAAACTTTTGGGAACTATGAAACGTATAGATGAAGAAAAAGTGACTTTACAAACCTAAAAAATCTGAACCTGAGGCCAGAAATCGATAGCCAAAAAGTAACTAGTTTATATTATGGAATTCCTTGAGAAGCTCAGGAATTGGTAGTACTAGTTATCTCTGAAAGTGAAGTTGAGAGTGACAGTAAAACCAAGAAAATTGCCTAACAGTCTATTTTTAGAAAGTCTCAGACCGTATTGGTTATCTAATACTGCATTAAGAAGTCACTCCCAAACTTGGTGTTTCAAAATAGCAATTGTTCTCTCTCACTGTTTCTGTGGGTCAGGAATTCAGGAGTAACTTGACTGGTTGCCCCAGGATCTCACCTGAAGGCTTGACTTGAGCTGGTAGATCACCTTCCAAGATAGCTCATTCCTTGGCACTTAAGTTGGCAAGTGACCTTAGTACCTGTCATGGTACCTTCTCCACAGAGCTAATTGATGTACTCACAGTATGAACCAATACCTCCAGAGTGAGTGATCAAAGAGACCAAGGTGGAAACTACAATGCTATTTATAATCTAGAGCAGCGATTTTCAACCAGTGTGCCACAAGAATTTTTTAAAACATGGAATACCTGACTGTTTAGTCAGGGTCACTGACCTCTTTTCTCTTTGTCGAATTTTTTTAAAAAATGACAGCAACCAGTACAACAATAGCCATCTGGTGTGAATCAATCAAAATTGTGCATACGTTTTTTGTCAGATCAGCAAAAATATATATTTTTTTGGTGTACACAGGATTTTAATAGTTTATGTGTGCCATGGGATGAAAAAGGTTGAAAATCACTGATATAGACTCAGAAGCCACATCATTACTTCTGCCATATTCTCTTGGTCACACAGTTCAGCCTTAAGTGCATTATGGAAGGTAAGTAAGTAAAGGCATGCATACCAAGAGGTTAGGATCTTTGCAGGCCATTTTGCATGTCAGGTACCACAGGCGCTTAGGTCCCCACTTCTATTCTGAACAGTCATGTGACTTCCCCATCATCTCCCTAACAGAAGGATAGAAGTATATTCTCTGGAAAGAACAAAAATAAGGTTCTCATCTTCAGTACCCTACTATTGAGGGTGAAGTATTATAGTGACAGCAAGGAGGTAAACTGAACATTTATGTACTGATTGGTGGGCCCCTCAGCCCTCCGGAACCCTGTCAGCCAGGCTTGTTGAAGACGGCAGATAGGAAGATTCCCTTTTTTTTTTTTTTTTTTTTAATTTTTCACATTTGTCTCCATTTACCCGCCACCACTTCCCCTTGCCCCACCCACTCCCACCTCCTCACCTCAATCCTTCCCCACCTTGGCATCGTCCATGTGTCCTTCACACCTGTTCATTGATCTGACCCTTCCCCTTCCCCTCCCTGCTCTCCTTCCCATCCCTATTGGTTTTTTCTTTCAGTGTTGCTGGTCATATTTTCGTTGCCTGCTGGCTTTGCTGATTAGGTTCCACTTATAGGTGAGATCATATTGTATTTGTCTTTCACCCCCTGGCTTATTTCACTTAGCATAATGCTCTCCAGTTCCATCTATGCTGTCACGAAGGATAGTAGCTCTTTCTTTCCTTCTGCTGCGTAGTATTTCATTGTGTAAATGTACCATAGTTTTTTGATCCTCTCCTTTACTGATGGGCATTTAGGTTGCTTCCAGCACTTGACTATTATAAATTGTGCTGCTATGAACATTGGGGTGCATAGGTTCTTTTGAATTGGTGTTTTGGGATTCTTAGAGTATAATCCACCAGTAGATTCACTGAGTCTAAAGGCAGTTCCATGTTTAGCTTTTGGAGGAAATTCCACACTGTTTTCCACAGTGGCTGCAACAGTCTACATTCCCACCAACAGTGTACTAGGGTTCCCTTTTCTCCACAACCTCACCAGCACCCGTTGTTTGTTGATTTATTTACGATGGGCCATTCTGACCAGTGTGAAGTGGTATCTCATTGTGGTTTTAGTATGTATTTCTCTGATGGCTAGTGATGATGAGCATCCTTTCATATGTCTCTGGGCCCTATGTATGTCCTACTTACTCACTTTTTTCCTTTGTGCCTGTGATCCTCTCTCACGCTTTTTCTTCATCCTAAAGCAGTCCCTTTAGCATATCTTGTAGTGCTGTTTTGGTGGAGGTATGTTCTTTTAGCCTTCTTTTGTCTGAGAAACTCCTTATTTCTCCTTCCATTTTAATTGAGAGGCTTGCTGGGCAGAGCAGTCTTGGTTGCAGGCCTTTGCTTTTCATGGCTTGGAATATTTCTTGCCATTCCCTTCTGGGTTGTAGTGTTTCTCTTGAGAAGTCAGCTGCTAACCATATCAGGGCTTCCTTATATGTTACTCCCTGTTACTCCCTGTTTCTCCCCTGCTGCCTTTAGGATTCTTTCTTTGTCTCTGGTATTTGCCATTTTAATGATGATGTGTCTTAGAGTGGGCCTCATTGAGTTTCTCTTGAATGGGACCCTCTGTGCTCCCTGGACTTGTGTGGCTTTTTCTCTCCTCCAGTTGGGGAAGTTCTCCATCATTACTTTTTCAAACAGGTCCTCTGTCCCTTGTTCCTCTTCTCCTTCTGGTATCTCTCTTATACAGATGTTACTATGTTTCAGGTTGTCCTGCATTTCCCCAGCCTCTTCATTTTTTTTTTTTTTTTTTTTTTTTAGTCTTTTTTCATTTTCTTGCTCTTTCTAGGAGCTTTTTTCTACCTTGTTCTCTAGGTCACTGATTTGATTTTCTGCTTCATCTAGCCTGCTTTTGAGTCCTTCTACTGCCTTCTTCAATTCAGAAATTGTATTCTTCATTTCCTCTTGTCTCTTATTGATAGTTTCTATGTCTTTTTTCATGCTAATATAGTTTGCAATAAGTTCCTCATAGTTTCCCTGTAGTTTTTGCTAATTCACTTTGAGCTCACTGAGCTTCCTTAGAACTGTTGTTTTGAACTCAATATCTGATCATTTACTTGCCTCTATTTCATTTAGTTCTCTTTCTGAGGATTCCTCCTTTTCCTTCAATTGGGGAGTGTTTCTTTTTCGATAGGAAGATACTTCTCAGGGAAATCGATTCAGTCCAAGAGAAAAAAAGTAAACATACTGACATTAGGGCCCAATGAGCTGGCCCAGGAAGATTATCTTACAGGGAAGACTATAATCAGTAAGATCCACTCACACACTAACAGCTGCCAGTCAGGCAGGAAAAGACATTTGATCCCTGAGAGAAGGAACCAAATGAGTTTCTGACTGCAGGACACAGGAGGAACCCAATGTGACCCAGCAGAATATGAATTGAGGACATACAGCTGAGAGTCTAGGGAGATAACAGCAGCTATAGTTCATAAGAATACTAGAGAGGAGAGAGCCTTGCAGAAAAAGAATCTGGAGATCTGCATAAGGTTGCCATTGAATATGCAGCAGAGTTTTCATCAGCTAATAC